ATATCTAACAAAGCTGCTTTCCATGTATCAATGGATTAGAACAACAGTTTCCTACATTCAAAACAGTAGACATTTTTGCATCCACAAGCCCATGTTGAGTAACACCCTAGAGGGTGAGCCTCATCCAATCAAGGGATGAATGAGAAATGTTAAGCAAAGTATTGAATATATATATGCATACATGTGTGTCTGTGAGTGTGTGGGGTACAAATATATGTGTTTTGGTATGAATATATATGTGTATGTATGTATGTGATGATATGAATTTGGTGTGCTACCAAATATAGTGATTAGATGGGAGGATTAATAATACATAAATAATGTATTTTGTGATGGAAAAGTAGTTATAATCCAACTAAATGACAAAGGGATAATAGAAGAAGAATGGAAGAGGAAAAGAGAACAAGCTAATTGTTGTTTTATAGACAAGAAAGGAAGTTAATTAATATTAATATAAGCTATTATGTCAGATAATAATATGTTAAATTTAAAAAGAGGTAACTAAGAACATTAAAATTGGTATATATACAAAGGTAACCAGACAGCCACTAAAATAACTATAAACCATCAAAATACCATTAAATTTTTTTAAATTTTTGTGGGTATTCGTTAAAACATAAAGAATAGGAGCAAACATAGCAGTCAGAGCAATACATGTGAATTTAATTAATTAAAGTAAACATTTTAAATTTGGCTGTTGAACTAAGCCTAACTATTTGTTTTATATAAACACCTGAAACAAAATGATTTCGAAATGCAAAATTAAAGCTATGCACAAAGGTGTCTGGGAAAAATGTCCCAGTAAAAAAAAATAACAGCTCCACTATCAGATAGATAGAAATGAGGGAAAAGGCATTAAAAGTGATAAAGAAGAAAACTTACCAAGCAAGAGACACTCAAATCACAAGGTATCTATTATATTTATGTATATTTATGCACCAAATAACCCTAAGACCCCCTTTTTGAAGACACAGATACCAGATATATGCCACTGAGAGACATAAGTAGAATCACACTAATAAGCAACACTCTTGGAACAAGACAGATCAAGTGGAAAAAATAAATAAGCAGAGATAAGATCTAAACAATATATTCCAACGGTAGCTCTCATTTATACAGATTGACCTTTATATCCTGATAATAATGACCTTTATACCCTGATAATAAATAACATACCTTTTTTCTCTGGTTCTCATAGAACATCCACAAAAAGGTCATACATAATGTCCGGCAGAAAAAAAATTCATTTTATAAAACAGAAATAATGGGAAAGGTACTCTCTGATGTCACACAACAATATTAATAACTACTAACAAGAACAAAGAACAGAAAAATTCTTTAACCTGGAAAGTGACAAGCCTTATATTTTAAAAAAATTCTTGGATGAAAGAAGGTACACAGATATAATTACAGATTTTCAATAATTAATGTTAGTTTAATCTGTAACAGAGTCTATGAGAAACATTTTTTAAAGTGGTTAGGAAAAATTCATAGCACTGACACATTATCAGTAAAAATAGAAGAAAATAAATTAATATTATGAAATATTAATTATATTTCATTAATTATATAATATGAATTGTGTTTTAGCTCAAATATTTTCGCAAGGGACAATTAAGTCAATGAAAAATCCACAAAGATTAACATAATAAACAGAGAAGGAGATATTAATGAGGTATAAAAAGAAAAAAATAATGACATGAAATGCTATTATTTGAAAGATTAACAAAACTTATAAACTACCTGCTAACTTGATCAAAGAAAAAACTGAGAAACCGTATGCAAAATTAACAGTAAGGGGAAAATAAACATTTAAACAGAAGACATTTGAAACACCATATGAGACTGGTTTACAGAGCTCTACGTACGTAAATTGCTAATGTCCTGGAGAAGTGAAGATGACCGAAATGAACACCTTTCAACTTAGAAATCATAAACAGACTCATTTCCTTAAAATTAATGAAAGCAATTAACAGACCCTCCTCAAAAAAGACATATATGTAGCCAACAATCATATGAAAAAAGTTCAACATTACTGTTCATTAGAGAAATGCAAATCAAAACCACAATGAGACACCATCTCACACCAGTCAGAATGGCTATTATTAATATTAAGAAGTCAAAAAAAGATGCTGGCAAGGTTGTGGAGAAAAAGGAATGCTTTTATACTGTTGGTGGGAGTGTAAATTAGTTCAACCATTGTGGAAGACTTCAGTGATTCCCAGAAGACCTAAAGATAGAACTACTATTTGACCCAGCAATCCCATTACTGGGTATATATCCAAATGACTATAAATCATTATATTACGAAGACACATGCATGGATATGTTCATTACAACACTATGCACAATAGCAAAGACATGGAATCAACATGAATGCCCATCAATGATTGACCAGATAAAGAAAATGTGGTACACACACACCGTGGAATACTATGCAACCATAAAAACGAAGGGGATCATGCCCTTTGCAGGGACATGAATAGAGGTGGAGGCCATTATCCTCAGCAAACTAACTCAGGAACAGAAAACCAAACACCACATGTTCTCACTTACAAGTGGGAGCTAAATGATGAGAACACATGGACACATAGAGGACACACAATGGGACTACGAGAAGGTAGAAGGAGAGAGAGCAGCGGAAAAATAACTAATGGGTACTACGCTTATTACACGGGTGATGAAATAATCTGTACAGCAAACCCCTGTGACACAAATTTACCTATGTGACAAACCTGCATGTCTACCCTGAACCTAAAATAAAAGTGTTTTGTTTTTTGTTTTGTTTTGATTTGTTTTTGCTTTGTTTTTTTGACATGGAGTCTCGCTCTCTCCCAAGGCTGGAGTGCAGTGGCACAATCTCGGCTCACTGCAAGCTCCGACTCCCAGGTTGAAGTGATTCTCCTGCCTCAGCCTCCCAAGTAGCTGGGATTACAGGCACGCACCATCACACCCAACTAATTTTTGTATTTTTAGTAGAGAAGGGGTTTCACCATCTTGGCCAGGATTATCTCAATCTCCTGACCTCATGATCTGCCTGCCTCGGCCTCCCAAAGTGCCGGGATTACAGGCGTGAGCCGCTGCGCCCGACCAAAGTTTTTTTTAAAAATGACTTTAAGGGACAGAGTTTTTAAATGAAAAATAAAAATAAAAATTAACAACAAAAAAAAGCCCAAACCCAGATGATTTCTGAGGAGACTTCTACCAAATATTTAAAGACAAAGCAATCCCAATATTGTATAAATTGTCAAAGAGCACTTAAAATGAAGGACAACTTCTTAATTCCTTTTATGAAGGGTGTATAGTAGTCCCCCTTATCCAAAAGGATAAGTTCCAAAATGCCCAGTGAAGGCTTGAAACCATGATAGTAACAAAGCCTATATATAGTATGTTTTTTCCATAAGCATACATACCTGTCATAAAGTTTAATTTACAAAATAGTAACAGTACGAGATTAACAACAATATCTGATAATAAAAGGAACACATAACAATTACTGTAAAAACAAGTTATGTAAATACGGTCTTTCTCTCTCCCCTCCATCTCTCTCTCTCTCTCTCTCTCTCTCTCTCTCTCTCTCTCTCAGAATATGTTAATATTTTCTCACAGTGGCTGATCTTGGGTAACTGAAACTGCAGAAACTGAAATTGTGGTTAAGGGAAAACTACTGTATGCATTGAATTTGCAGTGAGAAGAATCAACATGCCCCATGATTCCTGCCTCCAGATGTCAATACTCTGTGTAAGCCCCTCCCTGTGAGTGACGGCGAGACCTGTTGCTTTTAGCCAATAGAATATGGTGAATGTTTACAATTATGTGTGCTTATGTGATTATGTTACATAACACTGTAGGACCCATCTTGCTGGAGTCCCTTGCTGGTTTTGAAGAAACAAGCAATTATGTTTCGAAACCTCTTTGACGAGCAACTGTGAGCATCCTTTTGGAGCTGAGGGTAGCCTCCAAAAGACAGCTTCCAGGCACTGCAACAAATGGCCAGCAAGAAAATGAGCCCTTTAATCCCACAACCACAAGGAACTGAATTCTGCTAACAAAGGCATGACCCTGGAAATGGGTCCTTCCCCAGCTAAGCCCTGGGTACAACCACAGCCCCATCTAACATCCTGAATTGCAGCCTTGTGAGACTTTGAAGCTTCTTGGTTTATACCTGAAATAGTGTTTTTATTTATTATGGCCCACCATGCAGGCCAAATAGCTTTATAACCTATTACTAGCTTAGAGTATACTAGGTTGTAAAACTATTCCTTCAGTTATGTCTCATTAAAAAATAGTTTCTTTAAAATGGAAGATTCAAAGTGAAGGATATAGTAACAAGCATTCATTTATTTTAAGAGATATGTACAAGAAGGCTTGGGAAAATTAATTTTTTTCTTTGTTATGTGACAGACAGCAGGCAATGCATAACCCAACATATAAATGATATGTACTTAATTTAGTGTTGAGAGTTACCCAGCACAACATATATTCTTCCCCTAGAAGCAAAGGACGAAACTGAAGTTTATTAAAAGGGTTACTTTTCTAAAACAATTGAACTTTGAATTGGTAAAGAAACCTCTCTAGAAACTGTAAGAAAAAATATCTCCCAAAGAACTTAATTGTTAGCTTTCATGCAAACCGAAACAAAAACTATTGGTAAGAAATTTAAAATATTAAATGATTGACATAAACACCAGTTTTCCCTTCTGGATTAAAAGTGTTTATTAGGTGAACAGAGAAAAAAGCTCCAGCATAAAAGTCATCAAGGCAGGTGCTGTGACACCATCATTCTGGTGAAAGGAGAACTGACTGGTGAATTTCACCTTATCCCATTTCATGATGAAAATTCAAGATATTTGTAGGTTAGATGGTAGCTCAACAACAGACCATATTAGACTTCTCTTGCAGGATATCATCACTCACGGGAAAATCTCAGAACATATGGGCTTCAGAATTCGTGAATCTCAATATCACAGGATAGAGGGTGAGAGTCTCCCATGGCATCCTCAATAATAGTAGCCAGAGCCAGAGCCGCATCCATAGCCACAGCCACAGAGGGAACAGGAGCCATAGCCGTAGCCACAGCCCAGTCTGCGGAAGCCACAGCCACAGCAGGAGCCATAGCCACAGCCCAGGCCTCCATAGCCACAGCAGGAGCCATAACCACAGCCCAGGCCTCTGTAGCCACAGCCAAGGCCTCCATAGCCACAGCACCCATAGCCGCGGGTGCCATAGTAGTTTCCGTAGTAGCTGCTACACATGGTGTTGGTTGTGGAAGTTGTCCTTGGGTAGGCGGAAGTGTAGGTGACTTCAGTATGAACACTTCCCCTGCAGAGGGCCTTTGATATGCCTCATCGTGGGTGGGAACCACACACAAGTCATGCCATTGGCTAATTTGAAGGACCAGCATGAGTAATTTGTTGACTTTTGGTTTTCATTCGTGGCCTTGTGGCATTTAGAACATTTTCTATTGTTTAGCCACATCTGAAACATTTGTGCATAGCTTTAATGAGCATCAACTGTCTGATCTTTAAAACTCTACTCACACCAGACATTCAAATTACCATTTTCCAACTAGCCTTTATGGCAAGAAATAGCATTTTAGTAAACAAACTGACCTGTTCTAAACAACCAATAATTTTGCCTTATTTTGGTTGACATTCAACAGGTCATGGTAATCTCCCTTGAGCTTGAGTTTCTCTATCTCTTTCCTGCTGCTCCAAACCCATTGTTTTCCTTTAGGAATTCTCATTTTCACATGAGAGATGATTTTCTATTAAAAGCCAAAAAGCGTCACTCAGCTTCCAGAGACTGTTGACACAAAGCCAATAGTTTGAAATTCTGAAATACCAGGCATGAGAAAACTATACTTTTTTTTCTCACATCAATATTTTCTTTTGTGACTCTGTTTTAAAACAACAGTTCTTCCCGTAGTTGCAAATTTGTAATCAATGGGATTTCATTGTATTTATAAAATTGTATTTTTGTAAAAATTTTCCTGAAATTTGAAGACATTTGTCGTATTTGTGTTCTGGCTCAAACGTGAGTATAGGTATTTTCATATTTAAGACAATAACACTGGCAGAAGTATCTTTTCATGCAAACTAGTATATTTCCACCATCGAACAAGAAGTCTTTGGCAAAATATGAGACTATGAGGAACATGTTACTATAGCCTAATCTTTTTTTCAAAGCAGTGAAAATCTGAGCTGAAATGAATGATTAAGTCAAATAGCCCTCTAGACTTATATTCTTAGTAAGATGACTTTATAAGAATGAGTTGAATATAGTAAATAAGAGTAAGATATCTGCAATAAGTTTTCCAGGCTCAAATTTTGCCTCTACTATCCATAGCTGTCTGACCACTGTTAACTACATGTTTCAGCTGCCGTATCTGCAAATGGGATTGTAATAATGATACCAACCCCACAAGGAAATTTTGAGATTCAAATCTTTTGATACATATCAGACACTTAGAATAGTGTTTGGTTCATAGTAGGAACCAGAATACTAGAATAAATGTTGCTGTCTTTACTTATTTCATCCCATCCCTGTTTTTCTGGATAGAAGCTTCAGTAGAGAGTTGATCAACTGAATAAGAGAACTCAGGTATGCTTAAGTTCTCATTTAGGGGCATTATGTCCTTGAAGCTGAAGGGAAGAGAAGCTCTGCATTGAGGATGTACATCTAAAAATAGAGAAAGTCACATCCTGGTTTTACTGAGAAGGGGCAAGTCCTACCGAGTTCCCCAAAAAACATAGCACAAGCAGGTGGAGATACAATGACTGGTTCTCACCCAGGTGGATCTGAGTGGAGACTCATTGATTTCCTTACTACAACCAAAGACTGTTCTGGCTGTAGAGCCCCAAGGATGTAACACTTCATGCCAGGTAATGGATTGAACAGAGTTTTATTTTTATGGCAATGGAAAATGGCAAAATGTGTTATGCCATCCACAGGTGTCAGTGCAGAACAGGTATGGTACTCCTCAAAACAAACAGCATACCTCTGCACATCGATGTGCATCTCGGGCAGAGAATGAGGAGTGGTAATGTCTTTATGGCAGTTGTAGTTTAATACTGACAACCAGAAAGTGATTGAATTTTGTTGAGTGTACCTGGAAGGGACAAGAATAAATGTTTTGCCATTTAGTGGAAATAATGAATCAAGATAGAATTGGGTATAACAGTAAAACAAAGTATATTTCTACATTTGTAAAGTTGTATCTTGTAAAACTGTTACCCGAATTGTGTATTTAAAGTGAGATAAACTGTTCTATCTCTGAAGAAATATTGGGCAATATTACAGATCTCATACTCGAAAGACTTGCCCCTTAGGCACATCTATTCCCCCCAAAGCCATGCAGACAGACTTCTTCAACTGCAACTGGTAGATGAATATGAGGGAATTAAGAAACCAAAACCAATTTGAATCAGATGAGATTTGCATAGTTTCTACTATTTCATAGACTTTCATCATGAAATTTTAGTATGTGCTCTCAGGATAAAAGGATTTTAAAACCAGGTTAAAAAAAATCTATCATTCAAATCACATTCTTTGATAGTGAAAATCTTGACACAACAATAGAGGAATCTTAGCTATGAAGGCTTCACTATGCCTAATGAAATAAGAGATTTATGAGAGTGTTGCCTTGGCGGTATTAGTGGTCAACCCAAAATAATTCATAATAAGAGCATCATTGCCTGTGATTTGCCACACCTACTACTGAGGAAGTATAAAAGATCTGTGAAGATGGAGATGTTCAAATTCAAGAACATCCTCTTCTACACCTGAACCATCCATTTCTGACACCATGATTGACTATACTAACTACTATGGTGGCTATGGGTATGGTGGACTTGGCTGTGGCTATGGCTGTGGCTATCGTGGCTATGGAGGCTACGGAAATGGCTGCTGCCACCCATCTTGTTATGGAAGATACTGGTCATATGGTTTCTACTGAACAATTGTAGAGCTCACCAGATTTGTCTGCTTGTGAAATTTGGATTCTCAGGCTGCTCTTGTTCATCTGATCCTGTGTCTTCAAATTAGCAGAAACCTAAATCTAGGCTATTATCAAAGAACTACAGATGTTATCTTTCTCTGGTTCTGTTCTGCAGGATGATAAAGAACATGTTTTAAAATGGAATTAAATTTTCCCTTTGATTAAGTCCTTTAAATAAATTTAGTCTGTTTGCAAATATAGTGTGTTTTCACATGTATTATGTGCATTGTCAACTTTGCATGTGGATGATGGTAAGATGGAAACCTATGCATAATTACTATCCCAAGGGGTTGACACTACATCTCATTTCATTTTCCTATTTTTTGTCCCTCTCTATATATCTCATACTGTTTAAAACTGAGTTTCCATAGGGACATAGTTGATTGCTTTCCTTTCAAATTCTACTTCTAGCTTGACAAGCTACACACCTAAGTCTGGTGGCTGCATACTGCTGACTGTCTGTCCTTGTTTCTCCAGAGCACATAGAAACACACATGCATTTTAAGTTGTGGCTTCCATTAGTTTTCCAAGTTGTCTGCCTTCTGGTAGCTTCATTACTATGAAGCCTCTCAGTTGCCTGATGTTGTTGATATAGATCTTATATCCAGTGTGGAATGGTATACAGGAAGTGCTGTGCCATATCTGGGAACCCGGATGTCTTTATAGGAAATCTGTTTATGATAGGAGATTTTGATAATGAAGTTCATTTCATATTTCATTGCATTCATGCAACAGCTCCTAAAGTATTCAACGTGCTGCTATATTGGGAGACAGCATTTTTTCATGAATATTCAAGATTGTTTCTGTTGTAACATTACTAAATTTTATCTAGTTGTCTACTTTATAAAACTCTGGTATTTGTGTACTATTTGTACCTGGTAACAGAATATTCTAATTGGTCTTTCATTTTTCCAAATGAAAGAGTTTCAGTGAGTTTTGACCACATTGTATGAAAATCAAACTTCTCAGTTAATCTGTAAAAATAAACTATTGACATTAAGGAAACTATATTTATTAGGGAAATTTAAAAAACAAATTACACAACTAGATAATGGGATTAAAAGTTTGTATCATGATTTAATGAATACAGCAAACAATATATCTTTTCCAGTAATTAGAATAAAATGAATTTGAAACCAGAACTCCAAATCTATGCATTGCCAGTTCTTAAACCAAAATTTTCTAAAATATCAAAACATACCAAAAATAATATATTTACCGTTATAAATATTGTATATGTGTTATTGTTAATGATTATTAGTAATTAACACAGGTATAGAATTTTTAAATAAATGGTTGAATTGAAATTGGAAATGCAGGTTTAAAATATTTACAGTATGGTTTTCTCATCTCACTGTTTGACGATCACTGCTCTCGACCAAAGTTTCTCAAGGTGTGGTCTAGGGACATGTGTGGGAACCAAAGACCCTTTTGAGGTCTCAATAAGGGCAAAATTATTTTCATAACACATTTTTCATTTTTACTGCCATACATTCATGAATGAACAGTGGAATTTTCCAGCTATATGCATGCTATCACAACAGACTAAATGCAAAATCAGATATAAGCAGCTGTCTTCCATTAAGCCAGACATTAAAGAGATTGACAAAACATGGAAAACATTCTACCACTCCTAAGAAGTTTTTGGTTTAAAAAATATGTTTCTAAAAATATGAAATTATTACTTATTTTGAAATGAATTAACTCATATTTTAAAATCATCAATTTTAATTTTAAAAGAAGGTGAATATCAGTAAACATAACACATAAACAAAGGCTTTTCAAGATCCTCAGTAAATTTTTTTTTATGATCGAAGAGTTTGAAAATCATTACTCCAAAGAAACTAATCCTATCCACCATTATTTCTTGAAGGTAGGTTACTTGAGGCAGTAGCATGCCTGAAATATTTTGGTTTAAATCCTCAAATATGTGAGTTATTTAATTAGGAAATAACACTATGCTCTGACTCTCTGTGTGTTGGTTTTAAAAAGTATGGTTCAAATAATAGATACATATTCTAACAAGGATTTTAAAAGAAAGTTGACGAAGTCATCAATACCTCAAATATAAGAACTCAAGTGACTAACCCCACTTAAAATTCACTTTCTAGAGGCAATTAATGTGTATAGAATAAATGAGGTTCTTTTCAAAGAGAATAATATAGCCCATGGCTTTCTTTTCTTATATTTGCTGCCATCGTTCCCAGGGATATATTTAATTTTTAAGGGGAAACACTGTCTGAAGTTTGGTTCCTA